TGCTGAAGCTGGAGAGAATTAAAGACTATCTTCTCATGGAGGAAGAATTCATTAGGAATCAGGAGCAGATGAAGCCACTAGAAGAAAAGCAAGAGGAGGAGAGGTCAAAGGTGGATGACCTGCGGGGGACCCCAATGTCAGTGGGAACGTTGGAGGAGATCATTGACGACAACCACGCCATCGTGTCCACGTCCGTGGGCTCAGAGCACTACGTTAGCATTCTTTCGTTTGTGGACAAGGATCTCCTGGAGCCAGGCTGCTCTGTCCTGCTCAACCACAAGGTGCATGCTGTGATTGGAGTGCTGATGGATGACACCGATCCCCTCGTCACAGTGATGAAAGTAGAAAAGGCCCCCCAGGAGACCTATGCTGACATTGGGGGACTTGACAACCAAATCCAAGAAATTAAGGAATCCGTGGAGCTGCCGCTTACTCATCCTGAGTATTATGAAGAGATGGGCATCAAGCCCCCGAAGGGAGTCATTCTCTATGGCCCGCCTGGCACAGGTAAAACATTACTAGCCAAAGCAGTAGCAAACCAGACCTCGGCCACTTTCCTGAGAGTGGTTGGATCCGAACTTATCCAGAAGTACCTGGGCGATGGGCCCAAGCTCGTGCGGGAGTTGTTCCGCGTGGCCGAGGAGCACGCCCCGTCCATCGTGTTCATAGACGAGCTCGATGCCATCGGGACAAAAAGATACGACTCAAATTCTGGTCGGGAGAGAGAGATCCAGCGAACAATGTTGGAACTCTTGAACCAGTTGGACGGATTTGATTCACGGGGAGATGTAAAAGTTATCATGGCCACAAACCGGATAGAAACCTTAGATCCAGCACTCATCAGACCAGGCCGCATTGACAGGAAGATCGAGTTCCCCCTGCCAGATGAGAAGACCAAGAAGCGCATCTTTCAGATTCACACAAGCAGGATGACCTTGGCCGATGATGTAACCTTGGATGACCTGATAATGGCTAAAGATGACCTCTCTGGAGCGGACATCAAGGCGATCTGCACAGAAGCTGGGCTCATGGCCTTGAGAGAACGGAGAATGAAAGTCACAAACGAAGACTTCAAAAAATCGAAAGAAAATGTTCTCTATAAGACACAAGAGGGCACCCCCGAGGGACTCTATCTCTGAGTGAACATATGCCCGGGACAAGGGCCCAGAGGATCCATATCCCGTTGAATTTTAGTAACCAAACAGTGCGTGCCCAGCGGGCTTCCC